TATGTGATGTAGTGTTTTGCACCTCAGGGCCACCGTACACAACATTAACGAAGCACAATTACAAATTACAAAATCACTACAACATTAAGAAAAACACAACGACATTAAGAAAAACACAACGACATTAACAAAAACACAACGACATTAAGAAAAACACAACAACATTAAGAAAACGGAAAAGGTAGGTCCCACTGGAGACCTAAGAAATCGCTGATTGGACTACAGCTCGTTTTACTTCTGAACCGGAAGTTTTTCTGGAGACCCTTTTCACAGTGATGTCAGACAATGGGCACCGTAACTCGAAGAGGTGTATCTTTACTTGTGGTGTGATTTTGCCTCGGGAAACCTGACTGAAAAATTCACGGATACTCATTATCTTAAGGATATACTAAACGGTAAGGTTAATTACAACAGCATTTAAGTGCTAGCCATTATTACTCATTGTCAATTCACCATTCTCTAACTGTGTATATAATAAACAGCCTCCGATCGGAGAATAAACCAGCTAGCAGCAGCTTTAGCCACAGTTCGGAAAATATATACACCGCTGTCAGTGCTATATTGTTAAGTTTCACTAAAATCACTGACATCTTCCAACAGTTCTTTAGAAAAGCATTTTAAATATTGACTTAAGCGCTATCTGCCAAATAATTTACACATTCTCATGTCATTCATAATTTCTCATATTGTTTTGTTCATCTTTCTCAGCAGTAGCCTACCTAACAACCTACCATATCTGGGATGGTCTTGTTCCTCTGTCCATGGTAGGATCAGCCAATCAGCTGTGGGACATCTGCTGCCTAGTCAAAGTATCATGGGCCTCTTGATTTAAAAGGACCAACCAGTACAGAGCCTCCCTGCTCCTGCAAGTCACACTTCTTGGATGAACACTCATGACTGCAAGGAGCTGTGTTAGAAATGAAATCTTTGTGTATCTATCCTTTAATTAATATCTATATGTATCTATTAATAAATTGATGTTGTGTAGAGTTCTGTAAAAACTATTGTAAATAGCTTCTCTTGAGTAATCTACATATGTGCAACTTTTACATTTAAATTGCTTCTTTTTGTAAATTTTGCACATCTGGCAACAAAGTATGTGGAGGAGAGGAAATGAGAAAGGAGAGGAGCTTATTAAAGCTGCCATTGTGGAACAAAGACATAA